ACCCAACTCTCCTCAACCCTTCTCCCCCTTCCCAGCGACTGTGACAACAATAACACTTCCATTTTTAATGGGAATTTTCGCAACTTTAAAATGTGAATGGAAAAATCACAACTTAACAATGCTAGTGACCTAGTTTCTTGTAGGACTGCCGCACGTTTGCCTTTCTGGTAATCATACACACGTTGCCGCTCCTAACAAGCCCGAGTTATTAACACGTTTATATGTATTTGATCATACGTAAGGGTATGCGCTTCCAGGCAATAGTGACCATCCTGGAAAAGCGGTTTATTTATATAAAGAGCTGGAAGAGATCGTATAATGACTGTACCTTACTGTCAGTTAAGAGAAAATGATTTAATAAAGGATCGGAGTATATATAGTAGTGACCCTACCACATAAAACAATGAGACACTTGCCGAAAAAATTACTCTCGAAAATTATTTTAAAGTATTCAGACAAAGTAGCACATTAAACGTTTGTTTTATTGCATTCTAAGTTAACGTCGAAATTGAGATATCCCTAGTTGGTAAGTCTGAAGGGTGGAAAGTATGAAAACTAATACTCACCACGAGCATATTACTTGCACCAATCTACTAAAATGTATCTTTAAGGCGAAATATAAATCCTAAGGTTCATAAAGTAATTGGCGATGTGACTACGCATTTTTATTAGTGAATAGGACCTCGTGACAGATTTAAATTATGAAGTGATAATTTGGTCAAACTGCGAACGCCCTTTTGATCTCAGTGGAATACGAACCTAAAACAACAACGAAATAGCTTTAGTACAGTCACCGCTCTGACCACTCGAGGTAAAAGTTCCCAAAGAGAACCGTGATTTAAGTCAAAATTGGGTCAATTTACCTGATCAGCCTTCTGCGCCGTACTGAATCCAACGGTTATGATACTATAAGCGGACTGTTCAGGTAGAGTTTCCTAATCATTCCATTCAGAATCCGAAGAGTGACCACCTGACTCACTTAAAACAGGATGTTGATATATTTGAAAAATCTGCTTCACCCAACTCAGCTGGGCGGTTGACTTAGCCCCAAACTAATTACAATCTTGGCTCTCGGTAGAACTCCGTAGCTCAGATGGTCAGAATGTTTGTTCTTCTAAAGCCTTCCCCTTCGTGTCGCGGCCTCGAATCTCAGTGAGGCCGCTGCGATTTAAACAACTGTGTCCATTTAATTTACACGGATCAACTTATTTTATTAACCCCATTGGACTGAGAAGTTGACATATATTAGGAGTGACCTCAGCAGGCAATTGCGCAGATGAAGATAACTCGTGGGTCGCTGTTTTGTGGGCAGAAGATCCATTGTAACATAAAACAGGGGCCAACAGTTTACGCGTTCTAAGGGAGCTTACAGATGGCAGTCCAGAAGTACATTAACTGCATTTAAACAAGTGGAGACTTTTTGAACTAAACGTTATGCTATTATAACCTAAGTAACCTATGCTTCATCTGCAGGAATGATGTCGAAGACACTCATTTATGAACTTCATTTTCGTGAGGGCTCTTGATAAGAAGAATCTCGATTACTAAAAGACACGTCGACATGTACGTTGAATATTTTTCCATTACGTTGGAGACGTTATTTTAAAATAATCCAGCCAAGCTTACTGATTACCATATTTCAAGTTTACACAAAAGTTTCCGAAAGAAGAAAGCCATGCAGCAATACCCCAATATTTTTCATATAAATACGATATTATCGGATGGAAGTAGACGCCGTGGGATATAAGTAAAGAAATTACTGCCACCAGCGGACACTTTATACCGGAAATTGATATATGCTGAGTTATCTGGCATATTGACCATCGGTAAATAGAATAGCTCCCTGTCATCCATCTATAATAACAGAAAGTTTTGGGTTCTTCAGTCAGCTTTGTCTGTACTTTTATCACCTCTTCGGCTCTTCCGTTAAAAATATCAAATTGCTGTTGAAACCAGGATAAGTTGGTTGAATATACATAACTCTAGTCACAAAGTTATTCAAATTTATGCAAAGATGCAGAGCATGCTAAACTGAGCTTTCGTAAATTATTCTATGAATTGGAAAGATGTAAGGCAGTCGATATCAGTCAAACAGCGTTCAAATCCATCCTTTTGGTTGAAACCTTTGATTTTTCTCTCAACTGCACGCACGTGTTTATTTCTTCCCATCTTGGTGTGTTGCATGGAGGTATTATTTACGTGTTAGGCTGCGTCCCTTCTAATTGATCAAAAAATATCCGCGGTGGACCAAAACGACTATATTAACGGTGAATACAAGAAATAATACAACTGACGAAAAGAAACAATGTTTGCTTATTATTGCTGTTAGTGCGCCAGTTATGTTTGATATCCAGACATAAAAATATGGGTTATACAATGTTATTCATACAGGAGATAACTAGATCAACACATAGTGACAGAAATGTAGGCAGTAAAAGTCGTTCTTTTATAAAAAAAATTTAAAATAGACCTCGGGGCACGTTCACATGTATGGCAAGCGTCTGCGTAATGCTGTCGGTTAGTGGTCAGTACTTGTGGGCGAAATTAAATGTTTGAGATTACCTCCGTTTCACCGAGTTTAATACCGTCCGATTGGGACATGTTTGACCTGCCAGGAGGACGTGCCGTCCCATACCTAGCACGCTGTCTGAGGGAGGGCATCGTGAGTACGAGAAGGAAGAAGTTTGCGATGGAGTCAAGCTGAAGGAAAATATTTGCTGCAGTCGTCCAATTGGACAGATCTGCATTGGGGTCTACAACCAGAAAGTAGATGCAGAGCACAAACGTTGGCAGCTCGAAAACGGTAAAGAAGGCTGCTAACACAGTCACCGCTATTGACGCACGAACATGGCTGTCAGGGGCTTTGCCCTTTTTGCCAGCCTCTGGATTGTGTCGATGAATGAAAGTTTCCGAGGACTTCTGCCAGGGCTTCAACTTGAATATGATCAGACTAGTGAAAATAAAGATGAGAATCCATGGCAAGAGTGTCTGATAGGTGAAGTAGAAACTGGTCATCTTTGTGAGGTCCATTAGGAAAGGCTTCTCAGTTGTACAGTAGGAGTTAAAACTGCTGCTATAGCATACTTCGATGGTCCTGTCAAGACGACGAAGTACACCCAACAAGAGTGAAAGTGCCGTGATCAGACCGATTGCAGCCAGGAAAACGCGCTTCTTTCGAAGACAACGATGGTAGAATTGAGAAGCCAGCGGCCACACCACTACTTCGGCCCTGGCAATTGTTATCAGGGTAATGGCCCAGTTGCGACAGCAGATACCGGCGTCACGAAGGCAATCAAACACCGATCCAGTAATCGGTAGCACTGCAAACTCGACTGGTAGGCTGGATCCTGCTGGAGGTGGCACCACCTGCCGGCTGAGACGTAACCAAGAGTAGAGGCGAATGCTTTCACCAGTAGCCTGAGTCGTATGATAAAATACCTCAAAGAGGCAGAACACAATCAGCCCGACTTGCATTATACTCCGCTTTTTACTGCGACTGGTGGTAGTCACTCGGTGCTGACCGACAGCGCTTGTCACCTGTGAGGTGGCAGCGCGTCTGTCATGACTGATTGGGGCATGATAGTCAGCTATGAGTAGTATGAATGCCCAAAGATTGAATAAAGCCCCGACCACGGAGAGAATTACCGAGGCCCAGAATTTGTTAATGTCAATATCTTCTGGTGGAAGGACAAGGTCAAAGTTACAGGTGTCGTTGTACTCTACTCGGACGTAGCTGTCCCAGAAAAGGTCACAGGTTGAGTTTGACGACATGCCGTAGATCAGAGTTTCAAGAGGGAGACAAAGCCTCCACCAACTTGAAATATAATTACCACTGGTCGAATAGATGAAATTGGATTGCCTGCCCTGGCTGGACAGAACAGGCAACGTGTGCCTTGTCCAGGCGTTACCACTAGGTTTCGATTGGCTGAATTTATGCGCATCTGTCAGTGGCTCCTATCGAGATTAGCCAATCACCATTCAACCTTCATGCGTTCGTAGATGCAGCAGTTTTGTATATCATTAATAGCACTGCTATGATCAACTGCCTCTGGCCAAATGAGAGCACTATTCCTAGCTTGTCTGATGGCGCCTTTAAGAGTTCGAAATGCAATTCATTTTTGATACATATGGGAGAGATGCCAATACATTGTTGTGTATGGCGAGGATTGAATAACGTGTGTGGAATGCGTTTTTTGGTTGGCGGAAATCGTAATTTAATTAGGGTGGCATAAGAAAGGCGGATATGGTCGGAGACAAGGTTGCAAAATAAAATAGAGGGAGCTGAGTTTATATGTTTGGGCATACTCGATGGTAAGCAAAAATCTTTGCGAGTGAGGTCATCGAACAGAACGCGGCAGATATTTGTCTCTTTTTGCTTTCCTTGCCATGAACAACCGAGAAAATCCAATATTGCGATGTACTGGAGTTTGGGTTTTTTACCTCTCGGTTAACTTGCTCGAAAGGAGATTTAGGGGGTACTGTATCTTATTGTTATATTCAGTAAGGGATGTGGTTTGTGAATGTGGATACCGTTAAACACTTCCTGCCTCCAGTAATAAGAGTAGTCTAACCAATGAAATGCACACTAAATGTACAGAAACCGTTGACGAATCCCTGTATTTTCTCGAAAAAAGAATTTTGGAGTGCAATTATTTGGCCGTTAGTCGATTATTAGCAAACAAGGAGTGGCTTTATCATTTTTGAGGTTAAGCATCGTAATTGTTAGCAGCGGATTTATAGCAGTCTGGCGAACATGTCTCTAAGGTACAGGTCATTTCAGGATTTCCACCGATTGCAGGCAGATTATTTACATTTTTAACCATCTCTCAATTAACGAATAAGGTGTCTTAATTCAGAGTTAACTTCGCAATCTAAGAGAACACGTTATGTGTACTGTGTGGAAGTTATAAGGGGTATCAGGAAATTCTTTGCACTGTAATAAAAAAATCACAGTTTCTAAAGTTATATATTTCTGAGTTTACTTCACAGGAAATTTTTGTGACCTTTAGGGCAGCTACTACCCTTCTTGGCATCAAATGAATGAGACTCTGAAAGGTCTCCAGGGGACTTTATTCTAAGTACGTAGAAGGGATCTGTCCAATCCAGCAGCAGTAGAAGGAACAGCCAGTTTCTCGTCAGCCATGTTACCAAGAATTAACCATAGATGTACAACTAGTTTAAAGTCAGGACTATTTGCTGACCACATATCTTTCCTCCAGAAATGTGGAATTTTCCCTGACAGCAACCTCTGGGTCTCTAGAGCTCTATGAGCTGTAACTCCGTCCTGCACAAAATAGTACTTCACATATCTGGAACAGGTTTACTCTCAACTGTTGGCCTGCTTGCACGATTATTTTCCAACCTTTTAAGCAGGTTTCGCTTTAGGATCCCCTATCGATACCATTCGATATTCACTCACTGACCCTCTGTGGGATCAGATAGCCCTCTGAAGGACACTGCTTCCCAAAACATGACGGTAGGGCTAAAGTTTGACTCGCGCTTACACACTTTTCAAGCAACGGGTCGACAAGGAATCACTGGACGGACAGGACAACGTGAACCTCTCGCAGCGACTAACAAAGAATATGTAGGGTAGTTTGTCACGCGCGGGTGCACAAAGGC